ATTTGATAAGAAAATAAATAAATAAGTTTAAAAGTAATAATAATTGGATCAACTCTCCTCTCTTTCAACACTAGTTATTATTGAGTAAAAGGTTATGTTTGTTACTTATGCTTCACATGCATAAGCATAAGCAAAAGTAAGGTTTCAAAATCACAATTCATAGAACCTATTGAGGTTGAGTACATTTATGTGTATCTCAGTATTTGATTTGAAGATAACAAATAGTGTGATGCTTCAAATGCTTTTTTTTAAGTGTTTTCTTTCATGTTCATCAATGAATATTAACCATATCTAGATCAAGAGGAGTTTCATGTTTCATTATGCATGCTTAGGTTGTTTCTCACTTGGTGGAAGAAGATCAAGATATATGTCAAATAAAGAACTCAAGTGTATGATTTCAACAAGTGAAGATTCAAAGGTCTAAATTTTAGGGTCTGTTTGAGATAACTTTCTGTCTGCTTTGCTTTTCAGATTATAACCACGCTTCCATTTGGCTGATGCTTTCTTCCTGCTTCCTCACTACTTTTCAAAAATTCCTATGGTGGGAAGTTGTTTTCAAAAATTCCTATGTGTTGAAGCAATAAGAGAGCAACGGCATGAATTTTTCAAAAAATAATATATTTATGGAATCCACGATAATTTAAAAAAAAAAAAGATACTCTCCCAATAATAGCTTGACAACAACACTTATAAAATATGCAACTGCTCCAAATAGACCCTTAGCATAGATATTTTAGAGTTTTCATTATATAAATATTAAATTGAGTTAGATCATTACCAATCCTCAATAATGATGAACACATAATAAATTTCTACAATAACAACAACAACAACAAGCTTTTATCCCACTAAAAGGGATCAGCTACATGAATCATTACTCTCCATTGTGTCCTATTAAGAGTCAAATTCTCATTTAAATCTCATAAAAAGGTCAATTTTTATGATTTCTAACTAAGACTTTTTAGGTCTACCTTTATCTTTCTTAACATAGGTCCGATCCTAATAGGGTCATTAGAAGAGTGACATTTTATATGACCAAACCATCTAAGACAACTCTCTCTAATCTTATCTGTCATTAGAGCTATTCCAATCTTTTCATGTATACACTCATTTCCCATTTTGTCTCTAAGTGTAAAGCCGCTCATCCACCTGAGCATCCTCATCCCTGCAACACTTAATTTTATCCTTCTCATGTAATGGTCAATATTCTGTGCTATAAAGCATTGCCGGTCTCATCACCATCTTATAAAATTTTCCCTTATGTTTGCGGATACTTTTCTATCACCCAACATACCCGAAGCATTCCTTTCACTTCAACCATCCAACTTGAATTCTACTAAATAATATCCCGATCTATTTCACCATCGCTTTGAACAATAGACTAGAGATATCTAAAGCATAATATTTTTAATTACTTAATCACCCAATGTCATAATCCCACCACTAGATCTATTACTAAATAAATAACACTCAATATATTCGGTTTTTATCTACTAAAAAAAAAAACCTTTAAACTCTAAGGTTGACTTCCATGATTCTAGCTTTTTTAACAACTCCCTCTCTAGCCTCATCAACAAGAAAAATATCATCAGCAAAGAAACATACACCGAGGTACATCCTCATGCAAATGTCTAATAAGAATATCAATACTAAAGAAAAAAGAGATGGGATTAAAGTTGAACCTTGATGTAATCTAACTGAAATAGGAAAATACTTGATCAAACTAACTTATGTTTGAACACAAGTAATAACTCATGTGTACATATCCTTAATGACTTACATATAATAATTATTAATTATTTTCTTTTCTAAAACTCTCTATAGCACTTAGGGTTGACAAAATGAGTTTCGGGTAGGGTTCGGGTCCAACCCAAAAAAGTCCTGCTATCACTTGACCCGATCCGAACTCAACCCAATTAGGAAAACAAGTCACAAACCCAGACCCGAACCCGACACAGTTTGGGTCCAAGTCGACCTGACATGACCCGCCAACCTGTTTATTAAAAAAAAAATTATTGATAATTATGCACGCTTCTTTGGTCAAACCCCGTAAAAGGAAATAAAACGAGCTCCCGCACAGCTGGATTTAGGATTTCGCAACCCGCTAACTAAAATGAAATCCCGCTTCAGTGCTTCTTCCCTCGCGTTGAGAACCTGAGGGCTTGAGTCGCATGTACTGGTACAGTGTGAAGGTGCGCCGTGCGAACGAAAAAAAATCCCGCAACGAGATTTTGTATTTTGCTCACTTATTCCGCAAAAATAGCGTAAATCGGACATTCAGACAACACACTTCTTCGGCCAATCCTTAAATCGGTCCGATCCAAGTCAAAATTGGGTTCATTTAGGGTTGGTGGGTTGACCCGAACATAACCATTTTTAAATAAGTCAAATTTTTAGACCCGAACCGAGCTCGTTTGTTAAACGAGTCAACCCCAACCCAAAATTTTTGGGTTGGGTACGGGTCGGGTTGATGGGTCAGATCAGTTTTTGACACCCCCAAGAGCACTTCTCTTTATAATTTATCATATGCATTGTCTAAATCAATAAATATCATATACATATCCTCCTAACCCTCTCTAGACTTCTCTATTAGGCCTTTCAACAAATATATAGCTTCCATAATAGTCCTAGCCTGCATGAATCCAAACAAATTTTGATAAATATTAATATCACGTCGTAACCTATGCTCAATTAGTCTCTCCCACAATTTTAATAGATGACAAATTAACTTAATTCCACTATAATTTCCACACTCTTGTGCATTACCTTATTTTCTAAACTTATTTTCAAATATATAAAATTATTCTAGAACTTTTGGAGTATGTAATTGAATTGATTTTCAATTTCTGTCCGAACATCTCTATTCAATTATATGTGCAAAATATGTTAAATATTATTTTATTTTATGATCATACACTTAATAGACTAATCACTGTAATAATGATCATTTATATTTATAAGAATTTTCAATTTACTCTAAATATTTTATTGTATATATTAAATTCATTAAATTATGCTTAAAATGACCATAATGTCATTAATCATCAAATTAAATATAGTGAGAATTTGAATATAAATATATATATATTTTTTTAATTAAGAGTTCTCATATCGACAAGTCTTCATAATTTCCTATAGTTCATACATAGCAATTAACTAGCCAAAATCAATTAAATCCACTTAATTGTGATTAACTAAAAAAAATAGCATGTTTATATCTTATGAATTGTTTTTTCATAGACCTAGAGTTCGTATTTTACTTGAAAATTTTATGATAGCTTAGTTAATAAATTTAAAAATTCATAAATATATGTTAAAATAAGTATTCATGAATGCAGTATTTTATCTAAATTTGAACTGATTCTTTATCCATTAATTATTTTATGTCATTTCGTATGTTATATGACCAATTTGAATTCAAATAAATTTATTATAATTTTCATAAAACATGAGCGGTTTCCAATTTTAACAACTGTTGAAATGGAAATTAGCAAGTAAACATTCTTTTAATTTGTATTTTGTGCTAGCTATTGGAACCTAATTTGGGGAGATATTTTGAAGATTTTCTCATATATTTTAGTAAATAAACTAAGGGGTTATTGAGAACTATAAATGCCACATCTAAAGCAAAATAAACATAGAATGAGAAAATGGAACTTAGAACCCAAGTGAAAAATCAATCGAGGAGTTTTCAAAGAGAAATTTTGACGAGTTCATCATTTCATTTCTTGTGGTCTTTACATTGGTAACAAGTATATCAAGTGATTTTAATCGTGATGTGTGGCCTAATCTCTCTGCTCTACACCAAACTTAAGGTGTGCACTAGTCTGTGCTTATAACATTGCTGCCTAATACTTAGATATAAAGCACATGTGAACAAGCCACAAATTTAAATTGATTTGGCATCCAAATCTCACCTCTCAAACATCTAGCCTACCCTAATGCAGAGCCATCCTCAATTAATTTTTTTATCATCTTAGATCTTCTATTGAAGGAAGCATAATCGAAATCTCCTTTTTTTATTAGAGTGATCAATCTGAATCCATCTTATTGATGAACAATAGCATTCCTACATTTACTTCAACAAAACATTAGTTTGCGTATAGTTTTCCATACAGATTCTTTTGTATCATTCAATGCAAGTGAATGTTAACTTCCGCTCCTTGATTAATTCACTCAGGTTGGGTTTCCTGAATAACTAGTAGTTCTCTCAGCACTTCGAGGGTAAAATTGGCCTCAACCTTTTGGTATTCCATTTCTATTATATTCTGTAGAAAAAAAGCCATATCCAAGCAGTAACATATGTACATACTGCATAAAAGTAAATAAGCAAACAACAAGTCAACATCAAAAAGAATGCATCTAAACAACAGCAGCCAAATAGAAGGAAAAAGAAAGTCAAGCCTAGCATAAGCAAGCCACATAAGGGGATGAAACGAGTTGAATCAATTTTTAGGAAACTGGAGAAGAATAAAATCGTGGGATTTGCAACACTGTTGCCTTTCTACTTCTTAATAATACACAACGATGATATCCAGCTTAAAGTTGGCCAAATTTGTAAGCCACATATTTCCCTGTGTCCAGTGCCTCCACTAGAAAAAAACATATTTTTCCAAAATGGTTTAGCAACTTCCTCACATTCACTTGGTAATCCAAGAAAACTAAAATGACTACTATAACAAAGTGCTTTCACTTAAATTGGATTATACATTAGATTCCTACAAGCACGTAAGAACCTCTAAATTTCATCCAAAAATAAGGATTATTTTACAAAGCCTGAGCAAAATTTAAGGAAACTACAACTTCACGTAATAACCAACAAAAAATGCCAACAAACAAATTCTTTCTACAATTCCTATTCGGTAAATCCTTCCATTTCCCCTAAATGTAACACCTAAAACTAAAGAAGCACTAAGTTGTGAACTACGAGAATCCTGTATCCAGTAATAACATAGAATCGACCAAAGATGGACAAATTAACGCGGTACCTAACAACTTACATGAACAAAGGCAGAGTCCAAAAATGAGGTGCTTATCTCGAGTGGAGAACCAGTCGTCCGAGCGCCGACAGTGTAGAAGACAGCGGAGCCCACAATATCAATCAACGAAATTGTGGCGCCACCGTGCAAGAACTTGCCGGTGTTCTGCAAGAGGACAAAATATTTTGGCAAAGATAGAAGCGGGAGATGGAGAACAGAAGGGAAGGGGTTTTAGGACTTTACGAGCAAGCGTGGAGGGATGGCCATGGAGCAGAGGAGTCGGCCGGCTTCGATGAGGTCGACGCTGAGCCCATGGAGGATGAAAGCGTCATAAAATTTAGAGGGCAGAGAGTCGAGCATCGGCGTCGGTAGGATCTCCACCGCCGCCGCCTCCAGCGATCGCTTCACGGCCGGAAAATCCATGAGTCTCCGAAGAAATTGGAGGAAAGTATTTTATGCCTGAAAAATTGAAAATTTGATCTTTCTTTTTGTAACATCTCGGTTGACGAGCAAACCGGAGGCGGTTCGTACATCCAATAAAAATTGGCAAATTATTGCATCAGGTCATCTGACAGAGAAATGCGTTCGGTCTCTCTCTGTCTATAGTAACATGCACTTTACTGTAGCACTGCTATAGTAAAGCGCAGGTTACTGTAGATAGAGAGAGACCGAACGCATCTCTGCGTTCGGTCACCTGACGCAATAATTTGCCATAAAAATTTGTGTGACGCTTTAGTTGTGATTTTTTAGTTGCAGTTTGGTTGCGCTTTGGTTGCGCTTTAGTTGCGCTTTTTGACTTGCGCTTTAGTTGCGCTTTACCTGCGCTTTAGTTGCACTTTACTTGTGCTAATTTTAAAATAATATTTTATTAATATCCGGACCTATCTAGTTCGGTCACCTGACCCAATAATTTGCCCGGTTGACGATGTTATTGTTCTAAATTATTCATGCCCCCTTATTTTAAAAAAAAATGAAAATTTTACATACATACCACTTTATTTAATGTTATTTATATATGTAACACTCACATTTCACTTTAATTCATATTAAGTGTTACATATATAAATAGCATGAAATAAAGTGGTATGTATGTAAATCCCCAAAAAATGCTCTAAAAATTTTTATTTCAAATCAACTTTAAGTTCAATGTTTTTAAGGCTTGGTTGGAGATGACTTTCTTATTATTTCTTAAAGCAGCATTTTAGTATAAAAATTTTATATTTTTATCATCCCAAACCAAGCCTTAATTGGTTGGTGGCCTTGTAAGACATGGCAATATTTTATTTTAAATGATCCATTGTTTTTCCATATTTTAGGTCATTTTTTATGTACATTTAAAATATCAAAGATTATCGTTAGAATCTATTAGCACATGTGTTTGAATCATATATGAACATTCTATAAGACTTCATGGAGTTCTTAAATATCATGCAAGAACTTACTCGCATATACGATTCAAGTTCTTGAATTCGTACAAGAACTTTATTTATGATTAAACTCTCTAACTTTACCTGAACTCCTAACTTGCATTATTAGTTCTCTAATTCTTGCAAGAACTCGCATCATAAATTATGTAAAAGAAATCGAAACGAAAACTTTAATTTACATAAGTTTTAAATCCTCAAGATTTTAAACAAGATGATTTTCACAATCTTTAATTGGAAGAAAAATATACCTTGATTCATTTGAATTCGTCGAATTCCAAACTATTGTTTCTCTTCATTCTCCCTTCACTTTCTTCTTTCATGAGTTAGTTCTCTATGGAGCAAAGCAACTCCTCATAATAAGATAGAGAGAGAGGACCGGTAGTTATTTCCTACTGATTAGTTACAATAATTGCTCATAGGAGTTATTTGATCAAACGGACCATAAACGAATGATCAAATCATCTCTTCTTAACCAATAGGATTTAATCATAAATAATTAAATTTAATAATTCTAATATATGGGCCACTTAATGATTTATATAATTAAATATATATACATAAATAATTATTGCGACATCTCGCATAATTAAAATATTTAATTATTCTAACATTCTCCCACTTGGCCCATATGAAATTATTAAATTATTAATTTAATTAACATAAGTGCAATATGTAAATCCTCTTCCTTAAATTGGTCAAATCATAAATTTATTATTAAATACAAAATTAATATGAATCATGGCAGTCATACATCATTAGATCGATGCACTTCCTTCCATGTATCATGATACTAATCTTATACTTAATATGAAGCATAATAAGATACATACATAATGGTCCAACAATGATGTCTTTACAAAAGATAAATCTCATTAATATTCACATAAACATTCATGTATACAAAACATAATAAATGAGATACACTAATTGTTAGAAACAAAATAAAAGAGTTCAAAGTATCAAAAGACATAAAGAGCAAATAAATATAAACTTAATAATGATTTTCATTAATGCCATCCTAACAACATATTCATGAAATGTCTTCGGTGGCAACCCTTTAGTTAATAGATCCGCAATCATAAGATTGTTACTAATGTGCTCAAAAGATACTCTTTGTTTTCGAACTTCTTCTTTAACGGCAAAGTATTTTAATTCTATATGTTTAGCACCCTTTGAATACTTTTCGTTCTTAGAAAAGAAGACTGCTGCGGTATTATCACAATAAATTTTCAGCGGCTTGACAATACTGTCAACAATTCTAAGTCCTGAAATAAAATTTCACAATCATAATCCTTAAATTATGGCCTCAAAACATGCCACAAATTCAGCTTCCATTATGGATGAAGCAATGACAGACTGCTTCGCACTCTTCCAAGATATTGCTCCTCCACTCAAGAGAAACACATATCCAAATTTGAATTTTTTAGAATCCAAACATCCAACAAAATCTGAATCTGAATATCCAATCATCTCAAGGTGATCAGATCTTCTAAAAGTGAGCATGTATTCCTTTGTTCCTTGTAGATATCGTAAAACCTTATTTGCAGCTTCCAATGATCAAGTCCTGGATTACTTTGATATCTACCCAATATTCCAACGGTAAAACTTATATCTGGTCTAGTACAAGTCTGAGCATACATTAAACTTCCTATAATAGATGTATAAGGAATTTGTTTCATTTCTTTATGTTCCAATTCATTCTTTGGGCATTGCATAAGGTTTAATTTATTTTCTTTCTGAATTGGAACAATGCTTGTTGAACAATTTTTCATTTTAAATCTCTCAAGAACTTTATTAATATATACTTTCTAAGACAATCCTAGCATTCCTTGTGATCTGTCATAGAATATTTCAATTCCTATCATATAGGATGCATCACCATATCTTTTATTTCAAAGTTATTTGAGAGAAATTTTTTGGTTTCATATAATAAACCAAGATCATTAGTAGCAAGCAAAATGTCATCAACATACAAAATCAAAATTATAAACTTGCTCTCACTGACCTTTAGATATATACACCGATCAACAGTGATTTCTTTAAATCCAAAGGAAGTGATAGTATTATTAAACTTAATATACCATTATCGAGAAGCTTGTTTAAGTCCGTATATTGATTTCTTAAGTTTACACACCATGTGTTCTTTTTCTTCAATTGAAAACCCTTCAGGCTGATTCATATAAACTTCTTCATCTAATCTCCATTAAGAAATGCTATTTTCACATTCATTTGATGTAACTCTAAATCATAATGAGCCACTATCGCCATAATAATTCTTAATAAGTCCTTAAAAACTGGAGAAAAGGTCTCTTTATAATCAGCACCATCTTTCTGAGTAAAACCTTTGGCAACAAGTCTAGCCTTATATCGTTCAATATTGCCTTTAGAGTCATGTTTGGTCTTAAAGACCCACTTACACCCAACTCTTTTGGAACCTTCAGGCAATTCAACGATGTCCCAGACTTTATTATGATCCATTAATTTTAACTCTTCTTTCATGACATCTAACCACTTATTAGAATTCACACTTTCTATAGCTTATGAAAATGAAACTGGATCATCATCAATTCCTAAGTCAAAATCTGACTCTTGAAGATAAATCATATAATCATTCGAAATAGCATATCTTTTAACTCTAGTAAATCTTCTTAATGCTACTTCTTGTGATTCATCAATTATAAGTTTATTAGTGACAATTTTATTTTGGGATGTATAAACATTCTTTTGCTCATAATGTATATTATTAAACTTTTCAACAAATACAGAAATAACAAGTTTATTAGAAGTGATGGGCAAAGAAATTTTCATCCCAACTTCTTTAACCTCTACATTACGAGGTTCCATACTCCCACTAATTTCATCATTCTCAATGAACTTAGCATTTCCAGTTTCAACAATTTCCGTACTATGATTAGGACAATAAAATCTATACCCTTTAGAATTTTCTAGATAACCAATGAAAAAGCCACTAGTTATTCTTATATCCAGTCTTCTTTCATGTGGATTATAAATTTTTATTTCCGCTGGGCAACCCCAAACATGCAGGTGCTTTAAACTAGAGTTTTTTCTTGTCCACAGTTCAAAAGGGGTCTTTAAAATTGCCTTACTAGGAACCCTGTTTAATAAATATATTACGGTTTTTAAAGCATGCATCCACAAAGATAAGGGTAAAGAAGAATAATTTAACATACATCTAACCATATCCATTAAAGTACGATTGCGTCTTTCTGCAACACCATTTTATTGTGGTGTGCCAGACATTGTATATTTAGCACAAATGCCATGCCTTTCAAGGAATTTAGCAAATAGACCAGGACATTATCCAGATTCATTATACATTTCATAAAATTCACCACCTCTATTAGACCTTATGATTTTCACTTTTCTATCTAATTGTGTCTCAACACTATTAATAAACACCTCAAGGATGTATACTGATTGAGATTTTTCATGCAATAAATAGATATAACCATAACATGAAAAATCATCAATAAAAGTAATAAAATATTTTTCACCACTAAAGGAAGACACATCAAAAGGTCCACATATGTCAGTGTATATGACTTCAAGAAGCTGTGTACTTCTTGTGGCTGCCTTCTTAATTGTGTGTTTAGTAAATTTTTCCTTAATACAATTCACATAAATACCAAGATCAGTGAAATCCAAATCAAGAAGGATTTCATTACTCACTAATTTTTGTATTCTTTCTTTGGATATATGACGCAAACATTTATGCTACAAGTAAGCAGAATTTTCATTCATTGAACCACATTTTGTTCCAACATTATGATGCAAGGTTAATAATTCTCAGCAAATAAATTATCAAGTCTTAATGTATATAAATCATCACAAAGCACACCGGAACCAATAAGTTGATTACACTTAAATAAACTGAAACATCTACTTCCAAACTTAAAATAAAAACCAACTGTATCAAGTTTCAATAAAGAAATTAAATTTCTAGAAACATAATGTACATAAAGAGTTTGAAAAAGATCTAAATGATATCCAGTATTTAAAATCAAACGATATGTTTCAATGGCTTCAACTTGAGCTTTGACTCTA